CCGAGCACATGCAAGAAAACGTCTAGAAGTGCCACCACCTACAACAGCAATCAACCACAGCTGATGATAATCGTTCATCACATCGTCGACGTTCCAGAGTATATATCTGGATCGATTATTACACCTACCAACAATCGGGAAAAAAATAGCGACACCAATTTATTAGCCACAGAGAGATGATGAGTAAAAGAGCGACCAACATAAATTTCGCAAGAGTCAAACGAAAAAAAAATACCACATTAAAGAGAAATGATGACCCCATTTCCCCTACCCGGTTCGGATCCATCGGATCATATTTACCTCCGCGTATTGATGGGACAGGCCAAATTCCTTCAGCGCCGCCGACAGATCCTGGATGTCTATCCGACCATTGCCGTCCCGGTCGAGTTTCTTGAAAATCTTCTCCAGCCGTTCCTCGTCGGCCTGGGGCAACTCGTGCAGATAGTGCACCGGAGGAAAGGCCTGATTATTTTCCGAATTGTTGCCGTTGCTGTTTCCACCGTTGTCCAGGTTCAGGTTCACCATCGTATGGACGAGTAATGAAACGAGACAGTCCCGTAATAATTTCCCACTCAGAAACCCGGATTTGCACTTTCACTTCACCGTGCGCACTCGAAAACGCAGACTCTAGTGCGATGCCAGCGAAAATTTCTGGTCTGCCTTCAAGCGAACCCCTTTTTTTTTCGTTACCGAATTCCTTGCCTGCTTGCTTTTTCGCAATTCCCAAGTTTCTTCCGAGCCAAGGAACTGGCTATGCCTCGCTGGCTACTTGCTGCTGACTCACACACGGGATGGTCTCACGTTTTTGCACAATCGAACAAGAGGAATAAGATGAAACTTTTTCTGACACCAACGGGGCAAAGAAGCAAAATTTCCTCACTTTTTCCGAGACATGGCCCGACTATTTTCAACCGAACTGATCTTCACTAGACAATGCATACTGTCGAAACGACGGAAAATTTCAATCCCACACCTAAATTCACTGGGAAACTTGAATTTTTTTTTCGAATCGAAAAAATGGGAACTGAATTTTTTTTTTCACTCGAAACGCGACAACGCGAACGGGATTCAAGCCACTGCGACACACTTTCGACTACGAACACGAATGAAAATCGACTGAACGAACGAACGGGACGGACAAAAGGAGCATTATCATCATCATCATCACCACCATCATCATCAGTGAAAAAGCAAAAGGCGTCAAACGGTATGTTCGGTGCTGACGAACGCGCATGGCTGATGCTGCCTGACGCTGAAGAGGGGATTACACTAGAGGCATGAGCTCCAATATTTATTTAAATATTTTTATATCCCGCAAGTATTCTTTAGTATTTTTAGGTATTTAAAATCTTAACTTCACATTCATCGTAGTATTTTGTCTGTGGTAGTATTGTTAGTATTATGGTCGGTTGCTAGTGATGTGTTTGTTGTTGTTTACTCCATCGGTTTGTTGATTTTAATTATTATTATTATTATATTTCTAGCGTAAAATATGATAACGGTACAAAAGCATTTGTAAACAAACTTTTTAATGTCCTTTACACGCGAAGCAAAGTACGCCCACGCAAACCAGTACCACTTTCGGAAAGGTGAGAGTTGCCCCTATCCGATGATGTTGTTGGTTTGCGTGAGCGTACTTCGATTCGCGTGTAAAGCGAGGGGGACGACTCTATCTACGTTGCAGGAAAGATTATGTTTTGCAGTGGCTAGCTGCGCGCACGCTGAGTAGATACAAAGAAGATTGATGACGATTCTGAAGATTTCCTGCAAAAAGATGATGCGCGATGCAAGTTGATGCGAGAAATGATTGAAGATTTTTCGAAGATTGATTCGCTAGAGTGAGATTTGTTGAGCATCTAGAATTGAGATTTAGATGTGTCGCCCCCCTCGGTGTAAAGGGCCTTAGAAAGTTTGTTTACAAAAGCTTTTGTGCCGGTATCAAATGTTACGCCTACTTTAAAGCTCTTGGGTCATTCGTGAGTTGTCCGGGTTGAGATTTGAACTCGTGGCTTTGGCGTGAGAGGTATGGTTGCTAACCACTCGCACCCTTGATACTAAATTGATAAAATCAAAAATATATATTTTTAAATGAAGTGTGTATTTATTGTAAGGAGCGAGGGAGGCGTCACATCCAAATCTCAATCGAGTTGTTTAACTTCGAAAAATATATTGATTTTTATACATCATCTGATAGAGCTTTGTTTTCTGAGCACAATGATATTTTTATCAATCCCGTAGACATTCATCTCGATTTTTAAATCAAGATTTAAGTTTTTGATTGTTGACACTAAATATATTCGTTGACAGCTCGCTCTTATACAAAGTCCCACCAAGGTGCGCTAAGATGGTGATTTTTTGCTAATTTAATTGTACTTATTTAAAATAATTCCAGTCGAGGTTCCAGTGTACCAAAATTGATGAAATTTTGAATTTCGGTTCCATATATCGGTGTTTATCTAGGGGCAGATTACTTGAGGTGTATTTATTATAACAAAAAAAAAAATTAAATGCATTTTCTCAGTGCATTTTTTGTTGTGTGTAGTTCCAAGTGACACCTCCCACCAATACATGCATGTATACATGAAGAGTTTTGTCCTGTTTTGTTGTTCGCTTCACACTCGCCACACTCCTGAATTATTCTGCAGAAAAAAATCCGTCGAAATTTGCGGTGGCAGCATTACAAATCTCCACCGGAATCGTGCAGAGCCTCCTCCACCGAAAACGTGAGAAACTCCGTCGAAGCTTACTTTGGCCGCACCGAAAATCTCCAAGAATATCCACCGAAATCTATCGGAACCCTCTCCGCCATCAATATCTGAAAACTCTCCTCGAATATTCAGATGCTGCCAACGGAGGTTCCCAGAGACTTTCGACAAAGTTTCCACGCGTTGTCGGCCAAAGAGGTTCTGCACGATAAATACCAGTGAAGAGATTGGATGCAGCAGACGGAAGCTCCAGGCATTTTCTCACGTTATCGATGGACGAAGTTCCGCGTGATTTCGGTGATTTTGGAAGCTGCCAGTGGGAGGTCCTGGAAGTTTCAACGGATTTTTTTTTGCCTTCTCGGTGAATTAAGTTCTGCATGATTTTGAAGACGATTCTAGCAGCTGCCTACGAAGGTTCTAGGAACTTTGTCTTGTTTTGATAAAGGGTTTATCCACCAGGATTATGTTTGACTTGGTTTGACTAAATTAAATACATTGGGGCTACATTGAGTCTGTTGATGTTGACAAATAAATATATAACAATTAATAAAAAATGCGAAATTTCGATGGCGTTTTCTTGCGATCATGGCGGTCGAGGTTCCATACAGTTTCGGTGGCTATTTATGATGCTGCCAGCGGAGGTTCCAGGGAATTTTAACGGAGTTTTCTCGCGTTCTCAGCGGAAGAGATTCTGCACAATTTTGGTGGAGGTTTTTGATTCTGCCAGCGGAGATTCCAGTTTCGACGGAGTTATCTCGCATTCACGGTGGTGATTTTCGGTGCTGCCAACAAGTTTCAGGAAATCTGTTCGGTATTTTCTCGTGTTTTAGGTGGAGGAGCTTCCGCATGATTCTGGTGGAGATTTCCGATGCTGCCAACGGAGGTTCGTTCTACCATTGAGGTAACTCTGTAACTCTAGGACTAGAAGGTCCCGAAGAAACGTGCTCAACTTTTTGGCTCAGCTCTGGTACATAGGTAATTCCACGAACCTCTCATTTTATCTGTCAAAGTTTCATAGCGAATCAAAACAAACATAGTGAAGTACTAGAAATTTGACTAGAATGGGGTACGTTTATCGTTTTGCTTGGGACCAATAGGCTAGCCAAGTAGTGAGCCAATTTCAAATCGTTGACGGAATGATTTGAGTTCACTCACTCAAGAAAAAGTGACACAAACTGCGGGAAATGTTTACTAATCATGAACACTAATGGCAGTAACCTCTACCTCGAATTAACTTTTAATTCCGACCCTGTTTGGATGATCTGCCAAATATTTGCTTAAAGCCGTGTTGATCAACTCTGATACGAGCTCTGATGTCGACATCAATCAATATTACCTTTAATAAACATTTGGCAGATTCTCCAATCAGGGACGGTATTAAAAGTTAATCCGAGTTAGAGCTTACCTGCATTAGTGTTCATGATTGGTAAACATTTCCCACAGCTTGTGCCACTTTTCCTCGAATGAGTGAACTCAAATACTTCCGTGCACTCGTGTACACTCAAAAATAAACGAAATCCAAAAAAATTAAAAAGTAGACAAATTCCTGCTGCACCTTATTGAGTGCGAGCGAGCCCGAGCGAGTCCAAGCCATAATTGACCACTTTGTCTAGCAGTTTTGGCTTGTCTTTCTACCAGCGATTTAACAAAACTTTCTATTTTTTTTATGAAACGCACAAATGTTGGCTACTTTTCTCGTTGTTCTAGAAGAAAAAATCTCAAAATAATGTTTTATTTCAAAGTTCTAGTGGTAGTAAATGTCATTTTAACAGTGGTCATGCATGATTAAATTAGAAATATTCACTTTTGATAAACATTTATATCTTCAGTATTAGATTCTATTTTTTTTAAGAATATTAATATACAATCGAAAAAGATGAAAATTCAATCAAAACAGATTAAAATTTAATCAAAAATGATTAAAATATAATCAACAATGATTAAAATTTATTCAAACAAGATAACTTTCAATTTAATCAACCATGATGATTATTTTTGATAATGATGAACAGATGATTATTTTTCAGCAAGAGATAATTAATTTTTAATCATTCGATCTGGTTAAACTATTAAACTGAGTTTAATGTCAAATTGATTAAATTTTAAACAAAATGAGAATAATTTAAATTATCAGTTAAGAACTGACACTTTGTTTCCCAGTGTGCAACGGTTAGCACCACCTCCCAAGTCACGACAACCTCATCCTTATTTGATAACCCACCATCTATCAAAGTTTGACAGCGTTTTGTTTATCACCACCGCGCATCATCATCATCACCGTCATCATCAGCACTGCACCAGCGAGTGTACGCAGTGTCGTTCCGCTCCGTCCATCGATCTACGACGGCAAAGTGGCCACTCCGGTGTTGTGCAGTGTTTTTATTCGCTACTAATCGTCGTGTAGCATGACCTCAATTATCCTGCAGTAAGTATCGCCAATTTAAACTCAATCAGCAGGCAATAATCGTCGTTTGATCTGCGATGGCGATCGCAAACCGGAGTGGCAGTGAGGTGATCTACGTAGGTGATAAGGGCACAAATCGACAGCAGCGGAATGCACCGAGCCCGGACGGAGACCGGAAGGAGGTTAAGATACTGTTTTTCGATTTGACTTACTACAACACGACGACACAGTTTCTGCTATGTTGCGCCGGGGTGTTTGTTCTGTACCTGTTGTATGGGTACATGCAGGAGTTGATTTTCACGCTGGACGGATTCAAGCCGTACGGATGGTTCCTGACGTTGGTGCAATTTGCTTACTACACCGTCTTCGGCTACGTTGAGCGATCGCTTGAGAAAACCAAAGTTCCTCGCTGCATTCCGATGAAAACGTACGTGCTGTTGGCTTTTCTCACCCTTGGGACGATGGGACTGTCCAATTCCAGTCTCGGCTATTTGAACTATCCGACTCAGGTTATATTCAAGTGCTGCAAGCTGGTCCCGGTGCTGATCGGTAGTATCCTGATCCAGGGTAAGAAGCACGGACCTTTGGATTTCCTGGCTGCCATTGCGATGTGCCTCGGATTGACACTGTTCACTCTGGCGGATTCGCAAGTTTCACCGAATTTCGACTCCTTCGGGGTGCTGCTGATTTCGATGGCACTGCTGTGTGATGCTGCGATCGGGAACGTACAGGAGAAGGCCATGCGGGAACACATGGCACCGAACAACGAGGTGGTACTGTACTCGTACGGAATCGGGTTCGTCTATCTGAGCGTCGTTATGCTGCTGACGGGGAATCTCTTTTCGGGGATTACCTTCTGCATGAAGGTTTGTGGAACTTTTGCTTGGAATTACATATTTATTGATTTATGTTATATTGCAGCACCCCGTTGAAACGTACGGTTATGCCTTTTTGTTCAGTCTTTCCGGCTATCTGGGAATCCAAATCGTTCTCACTCTGGTGAGAACCTGTGGTGCTCCTCTGGCTGCAACGGTAACGACCGCCCGCAAGGCGGTGACCATTGCCCTCTCGTTTGTGTTCTTCAGCAAACCGTTCACTATCAAGTAAGATTGGTATTAGTGTTGTTTTTCTAATTGCATCGATTTCAATCGCGTTTTTATTTCGATTTGCAGCTACCTATGGTCTGGACTGATTGTGGTGTTAGGAATCTATCTCAACGTGTACAGTAAGCGTAGCAAATGGACCTTCTCCGATATTAATCGGACAGCGGAACGACTCTACCGCAAGCTGGTGCCTCACAGAGGTGGTGGTGTTAGTGGATCGTCGAGTACCAAAAAGTTACTGCTAGAAGTTTAAGTTCAATGTTAGTGTTAGTGGGTATTTTAGAGCTAGTGCAGACCGCTGTGTAATTGTATTATATTCCAACAATTGAAGGCTAAAATATATCTTATTTATTCTAGGAATTAGTGGACATTTTAATTTTGCTCAAGTTGAGACTAGCGCACAAACCACAAACGAAGTGACTAACTGACGAAGAAATCAATTAAAATAATGTGGTTTGCTGTAATAGAATTTCCTTAGAAGCTTGTGCCATCAACCACCAGATGGGCTGGTATTTATGATTTGATTTGAACAAAGTTTTTTTGTGTGCAATGATCTTTGACGCAGTGTGCAAAGCACAAACGAAGTGACAGACGGAGCGGCTCGAAAACTTTGGTGACGAACCTGCTATTGCAATTTTTCAGTGTACCACATGGTAACACTACTATCAATACGAAACTAACGATTTTAAATTGGCTCACTACTTGACTAGCCTATTGGTCCCAAGCAAACGTTTAACGTACCCTATTCTAGTCGAAATTCTAGTACTACACAATGTTTGTTTTGATTCGCTACGAAAGTTTGACAGATAAAATGAGGGGTTAGTGGATTTTCCTATAATTCGAGGGGTGACTCGATTAGCTTGGGACTGAAGATAGTACCAGAGCTGAGCCAAAAAGTAGAGCTCGTTTCTTCGGGGCCTACTAGTCTTAGAGTTACCTCTATGCTACTATTCTACCATAGTGGTCTTTGGAAAGATTTGGATTTTTCAGATATAAGATTATTTAATACTCTAGTAACCTAAATCAACACTCAAAGGGGTAAAATATTAAATTTGGGGTGAATTTGAATGAAAGGGAACTTGGAGTGTAGAGCGCACTGCCGACTGGACGATTCTGAAGCCTGGCCAAGTGAGTGGGGTATGGGTTTATTTGATTGAATGTCATTTCCAATTTATATATTGATACATTCAAACCATTGGCATTTGGTATTTGAGATAAGACAGTGATAGGATGCGGAGGGCCCGCCCATGATGGTTTCCATTTATTGAATAGTTCAGATAGGCTAGAAATGATACGTCTACACGCAGAGAAATGATTTTTAAATTCAAATGGATATATTTTTGGCTCAGGGCCTAATAATATAATAATATATTATATTTTTGGTATTGATTCAAATATATTATTCGGTTAATTCAAAGAAACATATTTTGGAATAAAAAAACCGGTTGTAGAGTCATTAAACTGTTTGTTGATTCTAAAAACCATTTTGTTGATTCAAAAATATGTTTTGTTGAAATAATGATACAATATGTTTGAATCAATAACAAAATACATTAGGCCCTGAAACAAAAATCAATTTTTCTGCGTGTACCATATTGGTACCCGTTCACTGATCAAAATCAGATTCACATTGTCATGCCCTGACCAAGAATAGAGGGATTGACGATGATTTTTCATGTTTTATTTTGCATTTGCATATAATTGTAATTTTATGTTTGCTTTTGTAATTATAAGATAAATAGTTTACCTCATTTGAAACAATGAGCTGTACAAACTTGACGAATCATACATCTAACATGGTAGTAATTACAGTGTCGCATGATCTAACAGCCACTGCCTGCAACTAATGTTGGAGGGGCCGGCAGGGCTGATTACGGATCAAAACTAACATAACTCTAACATTAAAATGATCCCGAAACTAATGCTCATTCATTGCGCTTTTAGTCAGTCCTTTATTTAACGTCGGTCTCTGTTCCGCAATCTAGTGCCAATCACCGTCGGACATCGATTGCCATCCATTGACGGCAATCGAATGTGCAGGAAGGCAGCTTCCACACCTGCGTAGGATATCGCACCCATTCAACACACATGGGCCGGGACCAACGGCTTTACTTCCCTTCCGAAGGAAGACGACCAGAGATTTTTATGCCTCAGAAAAATCCCACCGACCTCAGCTGGGATTGAACCCACACCCATTGGGGTGTTAGAAAGCAGTCACGCTTACCACGCCGGCTTGCGCTTTTAGTCATAAAGTAGTTTTATTTATTTTCGGTGGACATTGGATTTTTTATATAAATGTTATCCTAAAAAGGACCTAGATTATTTAATAGTATAGTAACCTCAAGTCCGCGCTCGGTCACAATTTGTATTGTGATTAATCAACACTCAATGGGTAAAGTACGAAATTTCAGATGAATTTGAAACAAAGGGAACTTGGAGTGTAGAGTTCACTGCCCACCGGTTGATGCTGAAGTCTAGTGCATCATCACCCTGCTTTAGTTATCGTGATCGAAAATAATATAGTCCATGATTTCACCAGCACTCCAAACGCTGTGTCATATGACTTCCGTAGAGCTGACCATCGCAGTATCGTCCATGTGCTGTCTAACCTAGATTGGGAGCATATTCTAGATCCTGTAGACGTCAACATTGCTGCACAAACCTTTTCTCACGTCTTGGCATATGTCATTGACAGACACGTTTCCAAAAAGATCATCCATATCGACTCTCGCGTCCCGTGGATGACGAAAGATCTTCGCTCGTTGAAAAGAACTAAGAAGGCTGCTCTCAGAAGATTTACTAAACTCCGCACACTGCCGCTGAAATGCTACTAAAGGGTGATACGGTCAAAATTTGGTCAATATCAACTTGACGTATTTCTTTCAATTTTGCATTTAAAAAACCTGAACACCCCTCATTTTGAAGGTGTGTGTGTGTAGAATGTTGCTCCTATTTTGATTTTGAAATTCACTCTTCAGTTGTCAAAATGCCGTCCAAGCAAGAAGAGCAGCGTATCAAAATTTTGCTCGCGCATCGCGAAAATCCGAGCTACTCGCACGCAAAGTTGGCAAAATCGCTAAAAGTTGCCAAATCAACCGTTACAAATGTAATTAAAGTGTTTGGGGAACGTTTGTCGACAGCCAGGAAGTCTGGATCGGGGGGAAATCGAAAACCGGAAGCCGCTGAGACGACAAAGAGAGTTGCCGGTAGTTTCAAGCGAAACCCTAACCTCTCTCTCCGAGATGCCACAAATAAGCTGGGTGTATCGTCTACAACCGTGCATCGAGCCAAAAAACGAGCCGGACTATCGACTTACAAGAAGGAAGTGACTCCAAATCGCGATGATAAACAAAATACGACGGCCAAAGCGCGATCCCGGAGGCTGTACACGACGATGCTGACGAAGTTTGACTGCGTGGTAATGGACGACGAAACCTACGTCAAAGCCGACTACAAGCAGCTTCCGGGACAGGAGTTTTATACGGCAAAACGAAGGGGAAAGGTAGCAGATGTTTTCAAGCACATGAAACTGTCAAAGTTCGCAAAGAAATATCTGGTTTGGCAAGCCATCTGTACCTGTGGCTTGAAAAGCAGCATTTTCATAGCTTCCGGGACTGTCAACCAAGAAATTTACGTGAAAGAGTGTTTGAATAAACGTCTGCTGCCTTTCCTGAAGAAACACGGTTGTTCCGTACTGTTTTGGCCGGATTTGGCATCTTGCCATTACGGTAAAAAGGCCATGGAGTGGTACGCCGCCAACAACGTGCAGGTGGTTCCCAAGGACAAGAACCCTCCCAACACGCCAGAGCTCCGCCCAATTGAGAAATACTGGGCTATTGTCAAGCGGAACCTAAAGAAGACCAAAAAAACTGCTAAGGGCGAGCAGCAGTTCAAGGCAAACTGGCTTTCTGCGGCGAAGAAGGTGGACAAGGTGGCTGTACAAAATCTGATGGCAGGGGTCAAGCGTATATGAACGAAACCATCTCAAAAGATTTCCACCGATCCCTAGCCTATCAAGCTTAGCGATCGCAATTTCGTGGTTCAGCTTATCGAAGGCTGCCGTAAGATCTGTGTAGATAACGTCCGTTTGGGTCCGAGCAATCAAACTGTCTGTGACGTTGTGGAACGCCCAGTTATGAATCCGTGTTGATCTGTACTTAGATATTGCTTGCAATGCGCATTTAGGGACTCTATGACAACCAATTCAAAAAGTTTTGATACAGCACTCAGCGACGTGATTCCCCGGTAGTTGTTTACGTCGTGTTTGCTTCCCTTTTTTGCCGCTGGAAAGAGAGAGCTGGAATATGCGGCGCAGTGGATCTAAAAGACAAGTGATGTTCTTTTTAAGAATAATCGACGGAACACCATCGGGTCCAGCCTTAGTTGAAGTCTTAAGTTTAGATGCTGCTCTAGAAATCGTATCTGTAGTGGCTTCGACCATGCTGAGCGTTTGGTTGATCAAAGGAACATTACTGGCCGCGGAAGTAATGAGATTAGCGGAGAGTTGCTCGTCTTCAAGCACACTAGCAAATTTGGCTGAGAACAGGTTGCAAATGTCTTGTTAATTGCCAGCAGTTTCACCATTAAAAATCATGGAAGAGGGTAGCCGACTTCCCTGCGTTGCTCATTTACGAAGTTCTACATAGAAGGATTTCGGGTGTGATTTTAGCCGCCGTTGAATCCTCCTTACCTCACGGAGCGCCAATCGACAGTAACTTTGGGTACTTGTCGCTCAGCAAGCTTCTGCGCAAAGTCCGGTATACCTCAGGGTAGCCATCTGGGACCATTGGTATTTCTCCTCTACTTCGACGACGTTCACCATGTTATATCACAGAGCCACGATTATCGTTTGTAGACGATCTGACGAAGACGAAGTTTTTCTGCGCATCCGCTCACTCGCCGACTGCCGTTCTCTCCAAAATCAGATTGACATCTTTGCTGACTGGTGTAGTCTAAACCGACTGGTGGTCAACTCAGCTAAGTGTACAGTTATTACTTTCTCACGCAAGAAACAACCGATTATTTTCAACTACAAACTACTAGGCACGACTATCGAACGGGTGCACTGCGTGAAAGACTTAGGCGTTTTTCTAGACTCAAAGCTGACATACTCACACCATATATCGTATGTCGTCGACAAAGCGTCCAGAACGCTTGGCTTTGTCTTCAAGATTACTAAGAACTTCACGGACATTTACTACTTGAAATCGCTCTATTGCTCTCTCGTACGATCTACGTTGGAATACTGCTCTGCTGTCTGGAGCCCGAACTACAATAATGGGACCGAGCGAATTGAATCTGTTCAACGACGTTTTTTCGCTTCGCGCCCCGTAAGCTGCCTTGGAGATACCCACTTCGTCTTCCAAGCTACGAGAATCGCTGCCAATTGATCAATATCGAGCCCTTACGTATCCGAAGAGATGTTTTCAGAGCCTTAACCGTCGCCGATACTCTGCAAGGAAGAATCGACTGCGAAGCAATTCTGCAACAAGTGAACATTAATGTTCAACCTCGATCACTACGCAACAGTCTTATGCTGAGACTTCCACTTCTTCGAACTAATTATAGCATAGGGAGCGCTATTTACGGCTTGCAGCTAGTGTTCAACCGAGTAGCGTCGATGTTCGATTTCCACTTGACACGGAATATGCTTCGCCGAAGATTCTTTGCCTTTTTTTGCTGACCGAAGGCGCTTGATGCCCAACAGCTAAGTGTAAAAATTTTCCTTTTCCTTTATTTCGACAGTGAGCATTCATAAGGGCGAATACGCGATGATCGATTCTCTTCATCGATTTTCTCTTTGCATTGCTACAGCTAGGCGAAACAATTTTCTAGAATTTGTTCAATGCAGAGTAGTAACAGGTTGTATTGGCTATCAAAAGCAACAGCAAACGCACCGAGAAACGTTAAATCTAGCGAGTTATTAACAAAAGAGAAAATCGACGAAGAGAATCGATCATCGCGTATAGGCGCTTATGCATGCTTACTGTCGATTTAACGTCGGTCTCTGTTCCGCAATCTAGTGCCAATCTGGGACGGGACTTGACAATCGGGTAGCGATTTCGAGCCAATTTGCTGTCAAACCCGAACCAGTTTCTGATTGGGCGATTTGACAGTAGCAATCGTGGAATAAAAAGAACAGAGGGATCGCATTAATTTGGCTGGCAGTGATGCCGGAATCAATAAGGCTGTTAATTGTTTATATTTTCGAAAGTAAAGTTGAAAAATTGAGTGCACTGCGTGTTTTAAGCGATGCATATTGTTGTTTGTTAATGGTTGTTTTTATTGTGTTGAGCAAAAAGTGATGTACAAGCTGCTAAACTGCGGTAGAAACGCCGGATAAAATCCAAATTAAATTAGAAAAAAATATTTTACATTCCTGGCATCACTAGTCAACTCCGTCAAACACCATGCACAACTTTCCGAAGGGCATTCTCCAAAAACATTAGGAAGAGTGAGAAGATCGATTGTCAAGTCCCGTCCCGGGTGCCAATCACCGACGGACATCGATTGCCATCCATTGACGGCAATCGAATGTGCAGGAAGGCAGCTTCCACACCTGCGTAGGATATCGCACCCATTCACAACACACATGGGCCGGGACCAACGGCTTTATTTCCCTTCCGAAGGAAGACGTGACCACTGACCAGAGATTTTTATGCCTCAGAAAAATCCCACCGACCTCGGCTGGGAAGTGTAAAATTTAAGACTTATAAATTTTTAGTATCTTGACAATGCTTTCCTAGTTATTTTCGTTTGTAACTGTAGTATATGTATGTCGTCTGTATAATCTGTACTTTTTTTTTTACAACACAATTTCATAACGCATACCTTATGAACCCGGATGATTTTGATTTCATAAGACGCTTATGCATTTCATAAGCGTAACTTATGATTTTCAGAAGCGTCGATGAAGTTATCATTTTTGGATTTGAAGTCAGTTTGTCAAAATGGCGAATCATGGAAGCCTTGTGTTCAACGAACAGAGATTAATCGCAGATTTAATTTCGAATGTACCGGGTGTGTGCATTGGACTATTTCAGCAGGCAAAACTACGCTTAATAGACTTGCTAACGTTGGATGAAGCTTCTTTTTGTTCGCTGTTTTCGAATTACTCGCTTCCATTTGAAATCAACCAAATTTGGAGCTGGGTGCTGGATTGGCGGCAGAGAAATGTAAGTATTTGCATCCTATTTTAAATGATTTATGCTTTTTTAATTGATTTCATTTCAAGCACCTTCAAAACTGTTTGCTAGTGGAAGAAGTTCCAGATTTCGCAAGAGGTGGCCAGCTCCTGAAAGAAAAAGCAGTTAGAATCGGAAATCCGATCGATGTAAGTTCCTGTTTCTTATTATTTCCTCGTGTTTTACCCCATTTTGTTTTTTTTTTTATTTTCACAGGATCTCCGAGTGTTTAAAGAGGAAATTCAGGAAAGTTATCCATCCGCTGATGAAGATTTCAGCCATGTAAACAAACCAGTTAACGAAATTGATGATTCGAGTGAGTTTGTTCTACCAGCACCCTCGAGTTCAGCAACCGGAAAGCAGACGACAATTACGAACGCAGCTGTATTTAAGTTTAAAATTACCACTGAAGAGTCAAATTTGGTAGCGGAAAGTGCAGAAAAATTATCTACAGAAAAGCTCGAGAAAAGAGGATTATTTTCACTTCGAAGTACTCTCAGTGAGCCTACATCAAATAAAAAGCTTCCTCCAGCTGTACGTACCGTCGAGGTTTTAGAGCCAGAAGTAGCAGAGCATTTTCCTGCGAACAGAAACGTGGAACAAAACAACGTAAGTTATTTTATAATATATTTGACTAAGTTCTAAAAATCTACTTCTTTACTGCTTCTAGGAAAGAGAAGAATTTTTGACATCAGCGAACAGCGAATCACCTCCTTTTCTGTCGCCAAACCATCTCCGAGCTCTTTTGGTAAAAACAGATTATGGAAAACAAGTGTTGAAAGAAGCGACAACGCACAAGCTTTCTAACGCGGGTCAAAAGCTAGTCGTCGACATGGTTGCCCGATTCCATTTATCTTTGGGACGAAAAACCACTGCAGAGTCAATAAACGACCTTAGTGAAGTCATTATTCGCGTTTTTCCCAAAAAATCAAAGGTTAAACTTAGTGAGAATATGACACGATTAAATGATAATGTTTTCAGTGAATGGTGATTTTATTTTTCGTCAATTCTTCCGTTTATTATTGACAGTCAAAAATCAACGCTAAGGGTTGTACTTGTACACCCTACAAGTAAAAAAATTGACGGAAAAACAAATCATTTTATTATAGAAATTAGAATTTTGGATAATCTGGCATCTTTTTTGCATCTTTCATTATTTAAGGATACATACTACCTACCGAAAGCTGATAGATCCAATCCTGGAGGAAAAGTTTTTAGCAGGATCAACTATATTAAACAATTCAAAGGTTCACAATTTACAATAGGTCAATTTATAACAATATCGGAAAACGCATCGATCAAATTGTTAGAAATAGAAGAGTTTGTGAAACATAGAGAAACAATATATGCAATGTGCAGAAATTGGGAAAAAGGAGCATATGATGATCATTTATTAGCTTATGAAGCAGTAGAAAGATGTGATTCAATGTGTATTATTGGTATTAATGCAGTGATTGGATCTCCATTTTCTATTCATGAAGTGAAAAACCATTATTATTTCAGGATTAATAATGATTTTAACTAGATGTAGAGAATATTATTAAGTTTAGTATTATAAATAAACCAATGTTGTTAATTAATTATATTTCAATAAAATAACATTTAAGCCGTAGCAAATGATTGAATATTTTTCACCAAGAAAACATAAGTTGATCGAGCTTTGTCCATCCTTAAAATAAGTGACGGTTGGATAAATTTCGATCAATTTATAAGCTTCTGGATAATTAAATTTCTATTAAAAAAATAATTCATATAACATACTTATAAATATTATAGCAAGTTAATAATGATATTCATAACTACTCATTATGATTTTCACAAGTAAATACGTATGTTATTCATTACACATGAATATGATTTTCATAAGACAACTTATGAAAATCTTAAGTGGTATGATGAACAAATTCCCCTCCGAAGTCATAAGATAAACTTATGATTTTCATAACAGATCCTTTTGTCGTAAAGTCATTAGTCATTCTTATGGAATTCTTAAGTACTTTTGCCTCAGTGTGGGACTATTTCCAGCCTGTTGATGCAACCATAACAAATAAACAAATAAACAAATAAAGTCTGGCCAAGTAAGTAGGTTAGGGTCTAATGATTTCTGAATGGACAATACAGTGCAGGTGGACATTTTATTTTGTGCTCTCTATATGTATTACCTATAATCTTTGAATCAGTTTTAGGTTTTTGGGTTAACAGAGGCAGAGCGTGGAGGGACCGCTTAGGGAAAGCATAATGTTCATACTTGAAGAGTTCAGAGCGGCTGAGCTGTTCGGTGGTAGTTTGACCGTTTGACCTTCCTTTCAAAACCAATTTGGCTCTAGAACAATTTTAAACTTTTTCTGCATTTTTCACATGTTGCAATTGTTGAAAAGAAGCTCGATATAAAGTAGCTTAATACAATTTCATAGAAATGTCAAAGTCCTACCGAGTAGTTTAGCTGTTCTGGTTTCTGATTTCGGTACAGTTTGTTGAGATCGGGTATAGTTTCTGAGTATGTTGTTTGAGGATTCCTATTTTGAAATAACTCAGATTAGCACAAACGAAGTGACAGACGACTAACTGGCGAAGAAATCCATTTAAATAATGTGGTTCACTGTAATAGAATTTTCTTGGAAGCTTGTGCCATTATCCACCAGATGGGTTAGTTTTTTTGTTTTGATTTGAACAAAGTTGATTTTGTGTACAGGCATGGAAAATCATTTGCATTCATTTCATACATTCATTTACATTCATTTGCCTCTAACTTTTTTCATCAACACCCTTCCGCAAAATGATGTATAGAGCTTTTGTAGGTTTTCTTATTAGCTACAAGTTTTGTTCATAACTCAAATCTGTATCTCCTATGCATCACGAACTAGAGCGGGCAGAACTTGTTACTGTTTTTCAGTGAATGTAAAATACATTCACTGAAAAACAGTAGTGGCTTCTGTTCGCTCTGCTTCGTCATGCATATGAGATACGGATTTGAGTTGTTAACAAAAGTTGTAGCTTATAAAAAAAACCTACAAAAGCTCTAAACATCAATTTGCGAAATGCTGTTAAAGAAAAAAGTTAGAGGCAAATGAATGTAAATGAATGCACGAAATGAATGCAAATGATTTTCCATGCCTGTTTGTGTACAATGATTTTTTGACAGTGTGCAAAGAGTGCGTATCATTTTGTCATTTTTAAAGCATTTCGATTTTGAGTAGAGTGAAAGAGATAGAACCAAAACATTCTAGTACATTTGGTGAAAATGCTAGTTCAATCTAGTAGTAGCAACAATCAATACGAAACTAACGATTTTAAATTGGCTCACCACTTTAGTAGCCTATTGGTCCCAAGCAAACGATTAACGTACCCTATTCTAGTTGAAATTCTATTACTACACTATGTTTGTTTTGATTCGCTATGAAAGTTTGACAGATAACATCAGGGGTGTGTGGATTCATGCAGAACATGCAGGGGTGAGTGAAATAGCTTGGGACTGCTTGGGACCGTTGTTCTGGTACTGAGTGAGCCAAAAATAATAATGATTTTCTTCGGGACCCAGTGGTCTTAGAGTTACCTCTATGGTACTATCATAGAGGTAACTCTAAGACCACTGGGTCCCGAAGAAAATCATTATTATTTTTGGCTCACTCAGTACCAGAACAACGGTCCCAAGCAGTCCCAAGCTATTTCACTCACCCCTGCATGTTCTGCATGAATCCACACACCCCTGATGTTATCTGTCAAACTTTCATAGCGAATCAAAACAAACATAGTGTAGTAATAGAATTTCAACTAGAATAGGGTACGTTAATCGTTTGCTTGGGACCAATAGGCTACTAAAGTGGTGAGCCAATTTAAAATCGTTAGTTTCGTATTGATTGTTGCTACTATCTTCGGTCCCAAGCTAATCGATTCACCCCTCGAAACATAGGAAAATCCACTAACCCCTCATTTCATCTGTCAAACTTTCATAGCGAATCAAAACAAACATTGTGTAATACTAGAATTTTGACTAGAATGGGGTACGTTAATCGATTTGCTTGGGACCAATCGGCTAGTCGAGTAGTGAGCCGATTTAAAATCGTTAGTTTCGTATTGATTGTTGATCATACTTTGTACTCAAATCGCGATCCGACATACCTGGGTTGCTTCTGATGGACCTAACGACCTTTGTATGGAGCATGGCAGTTCCAATACGGCGTTTACTTTGAGGCATCCGATTGGTCGTCAAGGTTGCCCTGTACGTTTTGAGCACGCGCCATACAGTGTTTCTAGGAAAATTCAACACTTTAGCCAGCTTGGACGCGGCCATGATGGATTTTCCAGGTGACTGCGCACGATTTTTTTTCGAAGTTCCTCTTGCATAGAGTTCTCCAGATGCACAAAAGTGTGCGTGAGATCGCGCGCTACCTTTTAAAGTAGTTGTGATATCACGATACCTTTTTGTTTCTTCTTCTTCTTTATTTTTATATATGGATGTTGGATTTTAGTGTTCGTGAGATTGCGCTTGGAGATCTCTATGGTGATTGCGAGGGTGATTGTATCCAAAACAAGAGCGTTTTATGAACTGAAAAAATACAATGTTATTGTTGTTTTCAACAAATATAGGAGCGCTGTAATAAGCAGAAGAATTTGTTCCATTACTAAGTGGGCCATGGTTTATAAGATTTTTGATGTAAACTTGAAGTGTGCTCATCTTGCCCCATCTACCCCTATGCGCAAAAAAAAATAATTTTGGAAATTTGTATGAACGAAATGGTCCAAGTAGCTTGGATTTCCATCGAGTCAGGAAGAGATCGAGGAAAGGAGAGTTGAGTTTCATGATGAAATAGATAATTTTATCTTTAGATCATTTTCGACAAATATAAATTTGGATGAAATCGCAATGTACTGCACAATTTGGGCGATATGTGGAGAAAAAGGCGCTGCACAGAACTATGACACGTATTTGTACGTACGTTATTTGTTTGCACTTGTGTTTAAGGGATTTCGGAACCTGTTTTTCCCATGAACTCGACCCTGATGCACTTTGTATTTTGTCAAAGATTTCCTTTCATTTTTCATTATTTTTTTGTATTTATCATACAACAAACCACTAAACATAGAATTGGTTTTTTTTTTGTTTTCACACAACCCACACTTTAATTTTTACTCTCCTACTCATTGTTTGTCTGTTGTTGTTGTTGTTTTCTCCGCGGCTGTGAGTGTGGTGAATATGTGCGCACGTGTGAGTGTCATTTTGTCATTTTGTTTTGTTCAACTTATCTTATTACGAATAGCTTATGATTACTGTTTTTTTTTTAATTCTTCTTCTTCTTTAACATGCTCATTTTTCTTAGTTAGTGTTTTACTTTTCCTTACCTGCTAGGATTCGCATTCGTTCTCTTCCCTTCAGAATTATAGTCTGCGGTAATGGGTGTGTATGTATGTATGTATGTGTGTGTGTGTATGTATTTCTTCTTCAATAATTACGTGTATGGTTTGGGTTCTGTCAAAAACGGGTTTGCAAATTTCTATGATTTTTGTAGTTGTTGTGTGTTGTATATAAAATTCAGCAGATATTTCAGCTATAATAGTAAAAATCGGATTTCTCGCCACTAGCGCTGGGAGGGAAACTCGGTTAAAAATTTGTTTTGCTTTTTCTTTTTTTTTTTTCCTTTTTTGTAGGTATTCATGTGAATGTATGTATGTCCTTTCTTAAAACCTTGTTTTTCGCTAGTACTGTTTGTTTGTTTGTTTGTTTTGTGAAAATGTGTTTGTGTGTAGTGTTGAAATTTGAAGTATTGTATATTGTTTATTGGCAATTGTCTTTTTTCACTATCATTGTTTTTTTGCTTTGTCTGGACAGAAATGCTTTTTTCACATTTTTTTTATTTCGATTCACGCTTCTATTACTTCCGTTTCTTTTTTTTTTCTTTTTTGGATAAAGATATTCAATAGAGAGAGATAGTAAAAGGTGTGATTTCCTGTTTGTGGTTTCGCTGATAAAATTAGCTTTGCCTTATCATGACTTTAAACCGAACCGAGAAGAAATGGGTAATAGTTTTAGTTCTACAGATTGTGTGTATGTTCGGTAAATTAATTTATATAAATATAAATAGTCATAAAAGAGTGTTCAGTTGCTATCGCTCACCTACCGATACAGTTTGTTTTCACTTGTTTGTTTGTTTTAATGCATACTCGTAGCTTTTCTATATAATGCTTATTTCATATACACTTTCGCTCGCGTGCTTCCATTTAGTGATAGTGTAGTGGCGATTTTTTTTTTTTTCAGAGGCATGTGCTTTATACTTTACAGCGTACACACACATACGCACTTTGTTTCAACAAGAAGATTGTTGCTAAGCTTATATTTTCGAAATTTTTCTCAATCTTTGCGAACATGATTGGAAAATTGTGTTCGTTTCAGTGTTTTTTTTTCTCAATGGGAAATAAAGAATATAGATTTGTAACTAACGAAATAAGTAACAACTACCTAAACTGAAACTGTAGCGCGGATGATAGATAGTGAATTTCGGGGGGAAAATGGCAGTTCATAGTATTGGTATTCGTGTTTTTAAATGTTCCGATATTTTTTTTTTCACTACAAGTTGGACTACCATATGTATGATCCTTTCGATAATGAAAAGGGTAATGATAATTGGACTAAATAGATGAGTGTGTGCTTTTGCTCTTGAATGATTCCCACTTAACTATGTGTATGTATGTCACTAATGATAAGAAAATTATATTACAAAAGAGTTGTTTTAATTTTTTCAGGCTTGACGACTAGTTTCGCTTTTAGTACACATTTTCACATTGCTGCACATACGTTTTATCATTCTGTTGCAGAAAATTCCATTTGAAGTGAAATGAAATATGTGTGAGAAATAATTGCAAGTGTGAGGCGTTGAATTGTTTCAGTGTTCAAGATCAGTGGCTATATTTTGCATGTTTCAGAAGACTGCAACGAAAATATCTCTTGCATACTAAACGAAGGAATTGTTTCTTTTAATTAGGAAATTCCAATATTGAGTGCACGCTATCTTGAAAGTACAAATTAATGGGTAAAACATACCCATTTTGAAGAAAAATGATTTAACTAATTTAAAAAAATGGATCTCTTTTACCCATTAAGGGGTACTTTCAAGTTTAGCTTGTAGCTTGTTATAATTTTTGACAACTTTCAATCGGTTGTCTTGAATCATCAATGCGCGCGAAATTACAATTTTGTCGTGATAAAGAAATGCATGACATTTTGACAAATGTTCTAATCATCGACATTTTATTCGGCAATTTTTTCATTATAAATGATAGGCCTGTCCTAGCCCTGGCTTACAAAGAAAAGATCTAAAAGAAACTCCCCTTCTTAACCGCGGAGGCTCAATCGAACGAGTCATTCCTGCCTCCACAGTTAACCGAGAGACAACTACACTGTACCAAAACATCATCCTCTGTTCGAATGAAACTTCAAACCATTCAAATCGAAGCATCGAAATCGATTTTCGAATGATAGCTGCAACCGGATGACGGTTGTTTTGTAATCAGCAGATGCTCCTCTCAAATACAGGATGCAAATCACGCTCCGCTCCGCGTGCGCGCTCATGCCTGAAGACAGCTTTAACGACAGAGAATTTCCGCTCATCCTCCGCCAATAGTATTGAAGAAAAATCGTTGCCCACCAAACACATGCGAACTCAACTCCGACAGAAAGTCCAAAACGTCGCAGCCAATGTGAAAAATCCTACCGTAAACAATCACACAACGTACACCAGGGTACGTCTGTTCTCCACCTCTTCATCTCACGACCTTTGGGCTACAGGAAAAATAAAACAGCCTTTTCATGCCTCACTTCCGCTAGCTGTAGCTTAATTGTTTAAATAAAAACACAGTAGTTCTTCACTTCAGTTGCATACTACATTTTACGCTTACATACGATCAACTCTTGGCTGATGCTGTGTTATGTTTCAAATGGATGTTTGTGTTTGTGTGTGTGTGTATGTCTCAGTGTTTATCGTGTCACGTTTTCACATTGCAGCAGTTGTCTCTGCTTGTATGATTATAATCCTACGCTCTAGAAGCAATAGAGAGGACGACTTACCCGAAAGAACGGAATAACCCAAATTCGAAAAAAAAACCGATAAGATCGCTCAGACTCATTCTCACTTGCAAACGCCTGCTTGCGCTTAGTCTTGCACCTCTCGATAGGGCACCTCCGAGGTGACGGTAAAGTTCTGGAAGTAGTGGTTCAAGAACTCGAACGTCGGACGCTTCTCCGGTATCGCATCCCAGCACTTGAGCATCAGGCTGTAGATGTCGTCCGGCAGCTGATGGTTCGTTGACTTTGGCATTCGGTAGCCCCGTTCGATCTGCTCGATGACCTCGCGGCTGTGCATTCCCGGGTACGGCACCTGACCGTAGGTGAACAGCTCCATCAGCAGGATGCCGTACGACCAGACGTCCGATTTGATTGAGAACTTGCCGTACACTATCGCCTCCGGGGCTGTCCACTTCACCGGGAATCGAGATCCTTGCTTGGGACAGTACTCATCGTCCGCTATCACCCGCGCCAGTCCGAAATCACAGATCTTCGCTACGTTGTTCTCCCCTATCAGTACGTTCCGGGCCGCCAGGTCCCGATGTATCAGCAGTTTCAGTTCCAGATACTCCATACCGGATGCCACCTGGGCGGCAATGTAGATCAGATCCTCGAACTGCAGGAACTGACCGTCACCCGTTCGGAGGTAATCCAGCAGACTACCCTTGGACATGTACTCCTGGACGATGTAGATCGGTTCCTCCTTGGAACAGACCGCGTACAACGCGACTAGTCTACTGTGACGGAATTTCTTCATGATGGCCGCCTCTTGCAGGAAGGCCTGTGTTGACATCGTACCCTCCCGGAGGGTCTTGACGGCAACTTCGATATTGTTACGCCATTTGCCGTAGTATACTTCGCCGAAGTTGCCGTGACCTAGCTTGCGGATCAGCTGGATTTCGTTCCGGTTGATTTCCCACTTGTCACGCAGCTCCGGACCGAGGTCCCACACCTGTGGCTGTGGCTTTGGACATGGACTAGACAGCACGTGACACAACCCGAGGGCGTTCTCTGCAAAAAAAAAAGAAATATAGCCATTAGATACGTAACTTCCCGAGACAGCCGATGCCAAACTCTCACTTGAATACGCCAGCACGAGCGCCGGCAGCGAGGGGAAGGTCTGATTCGTTGCGATGTAGTAGCCACCGTTGTCCAGGGGTTTGATCTTGTAGTGCTTCACGTGGTAGCCTCTGCTTTCCTCCCAGTCTTTGACCGAGAGCGAGAAACCGTTCGGATTGTGCTCGGACGGTCGCACCAGGAAGGTGCCCCGGGGATTCTCCGCCGCCAGGAGCAGCTTGTCTGCCTCCTTTCGCGATACGTTCTCAAAGAACCAGCTGTGAAAAAATAGCATTCAGTAATTCAACTCGATTCCACCCGTGCGTGCCCCAATACTCACTCTTCACTGTTGACACTTCGGTCCTCGGCGACAAAGTTCCACGGGATCAGGCCTTCCTGGCGGGTTTTCAGATGTACCACGCGCCACCAATCGGATTCGGTGTCGTCCAGCACTTCCATCCGGTCGCCCTTGACGAAGCTGACGTCGGTTTCCTCGCGGGCATTGTAGTTGTACAGGGCGACCACTATCCGCCGGGTGTTGAGACTGGGGTGCACTGTGCGGGGAGAGATGGCAAAAATCAATACATATTACGGTACGGAACTTTTATGGTCGCCATTAGTTCTCAGTCTACCGATGACCATCCCACCACGGTTGGCAATAGGATGCTGCGGTGGAATTGTAACAATTTATAGATTGAATTAAATGGACCGAACAGAGGAGATGACATTGCTCGACTTCGTTGCATTTGGCTTATGCGGTTAAGGATCTGCTGCTGGGAGTTAAACTGGAACTTTTAGCTTTTTTTTATTTGACTCTCGGAATTGCATACAGCTAATGCTGGACATTAGCCAATGCATAAATTTGTATTTTGTTTAGTGACGTCAAGCCAACAAGACTCAATTAGAATTATTTATGCTTAGGAGGGATTTTACCGCCCCAGATAGCCTAGTCAAGAAAGGCACGGTATTACCAGGCCGGAGGCAGCGGGTTCGTCGATTCCCGGTCCGGTCGAGTAAATCTTTCGGGTTGGAAGTTTTCTCGACTACCCTGGGCATAGAGTATCATTGTGCTTGCCACACAACATACAAATACATGCGTTGGTTGGCATAGAAAACTCTCAATTAATCACTATGGAAGAGCATCTAGAACACTAAAACACTCGCAAAAGAAACACAAATAGCCTAAAAGAAAAAAAAGACTATGAAGGACATCAATGGCGGTAAGCTCCAGCGAGGTAAATACGCCAATCTAGGATTATACTCGATTTCGCTAAGCACCATGTTATCTTCAATTTCAATCCTGGATCCCGATTTCTGAGTATAATCCGTGATTTTCCAAAAGCACGCAGCCATCTGTTATCACATATACACTTGCATAAGCAACAAATGTCATGTTCATATTATTTATTCGTCAACACAGCATTCAAGCATTTGCTGAAAGCTGAAACAGATTCGTCTGCGGCTGTTCCGCCAGCGGAAAAAAACCAAGGAAACCAATCGACTGCCAAAGGCTACTTCGATCTACCGGATGTGACAGAATGAAAGAAGCTGTATATCAATCAAGGGGTATTCAACTCTGCACACTTTAGGCTGTGTTCCATTTGGTGAATTTTCACTTAAATTTGACAGATGAAATTTTTTCAAATTGTACCAGACTTATTACTGACAGACCAGGAATCAACTTTGACAAACACCTTCTGGAAAATAGGAAGACCAACAACAGAGGGATTTTCGAACATCTTAATTTATTTTCGAAGCGTCAAATTTAAGTGAAAATTCACCAAATGGAACACAGCCTTAATCCATGCCGAGTGATTGAGCTGTGCCAAGCGGTGTGCCGAACAAGGTTTCAATCAAAGTGTGCCTATCAATGTGTCACTATTCCATGAGTTTGGCAACCCCGAGAATTGTGACTTTTTTTTTATTGCGTTTACATTCTTAATTTCTCTGAAAGCATTCTGCTTCTCTTCATTCTCATTAAAGCGTTTGTAGATCGGGAGGTGGAAGAGGAAGTGGAAGCCATCAAATCTATACGGAGTTCAACCCGTCCACCAGATACCGGCTCGATGTCACATTGAACTGCTAATTACTTGTAGATGTACAGAAACGAAGGCGTACCCGATCGATGATGGATGAAATTTCCCTGTCAAATTCTTCCCGACTAAAGTAACCCAGAACTTTGATGGGCGAGAATTCAATCCCACCCTAGGAGCAACTTCCTCGAGCTAGTTTTTAATGAAGCCTCAAATCAAATTTTCAGTAATGAGCAAGGTCTTACAGTTGACCCAACTATAGGTCCATAGGTAGGCACTGGACTCCCTTGATACGAGCTAGTTCAAAAGAAGGATGATGACTGAGATGCATCTGCAAAATGGCCGCATCTGGTGACGGGGATGTACTTGATATGGAGATCAATTCCTCGATGATACGAAAATAGACTTCTTCAAAATTTCCTCCACAGGCGGCCTTATATTTATTTGCGTCCCAACTGCGAACGTGTATAAACTAACGTTCAATGTCTCCAGGTTTATTTTTGATTTTCAAGATCACGGGATCCAACCAGTTTGTACCATAGGTAGCTTTTGACCAACCGTCAGTCGCTGGAGGCAACCCGCTGTAACTGTTTTGACTGCCGTATCGACAAGACCAGGCATACCAAAAGTACCGCCTCATGACAGTATTCCAACGGCTGTCGCTTTCTTTTCCCTACGACAGCCTTGAGATTGAGCTATAAGCGCCAGCCCACAGTGAGGCTGTTATACGACATGCAACGTTGCCGTCTTGTGCTGGTCACGACAGCTTGTTCTTAGTCATGTATTTTGTTCGTTCGGCTATGACAGCCTCGGATGGTCATTCGTAACTTTCCTCGTACATACAACAAGCAGTCCGTCAAACTGCCGATTCGTTGCTGCTGTCTTTGAAATTTTGTTTGTGTGTCGTAAGACTGCTACTACACTACCAGTGTGGCGCCGGAGCTCGGTCGGTTGCTATCACGTTCGTGCTGCCCATTGCAAAATTTTCATCCGATATTTTTTTTTAAAACGCACGGTCTCCGGCGAAAAATATAAGCCTACCCGACACCAACCTGACTTCTACCAAACCCCAACCCGATGTTGGCCCGACATTGACCCGACATAAACACAGAATTGACCCGACATCGACCCGACATTTGGCCGATGCCGACCATAAATTGACCTTACATTGATCCGACATCGAGCCGACATATCTGTTCGGGATCATTCTTCTGGGTTTCTTCCATACTCCACTGCCGTATATCAATTGTATATAATGTCTCGTGACAGCCTTTTCGTGACAGCCACTTGGGTAAGCTGAGGGATGTCGTCGGTTTGTGAAGGCTGTTATGACGACAGAAACATTGAGAACCTGGTCATAAAGAAATGCATAAATACAGCCCATTCGGTTCACTACGTTCCAAGCACGATGATTTTAGCAAAGCGGGTATAGATGCGACTGTTCTAATACAGCTTTCATTCGTTCGTGTGTGCGCTGTTACCAATACACTTCGAATTCAGATCTGAACGTACGGTAGCAAGCGGTAGTAAAGCACACAAAGCAACAGTCAATTCAAGGTATAAACCAACTGTCGCGAGGAGGCTGTACTTTTTGGAAGCCTGGACAAGACCCTCTCGACCGGCCATGGTGTGGATGAAATTCATGGAAATCAAGCCCGAATAGAAGCTGTTCTGGATGAAATCACGAGCCACAGGAATTGTTTGCTGTGAATCGGATTGAGTTTTGCTAGATTTAAAGCGATCCACGGTTCAGAGAATGCTTACAGATTTTTTTCGAGTGATCCTCGAAACCGGTTTGTCATTCTTAAATTCTTGATTGAATCGTTGTTTTACCAGTTTTATGCATGAAAACAAATACTCTCACTAGCTTTACTTTTGAGCAAACAAAGTATTCAACCGAGTAGTCAACCTTAGCAACGATTTGCAAAAGGTCTACACTCAGCAATGATGCCGTTTTATATTATATTGTTTGTGTCCTACGTGTCAAAATGTGCTCTATCGTGCCGAACAGTGTGCCATGTACAGCGGCACAGTGTGCAGAGTTGATTACCCCTTGTTATTAATATTGTAATTGTAATTTATTTTCGTAACGTTAGCCTGTCGGTTACACCATTGCTTTGGTCAAGAAAAACACAACATTTGATTTTTAAACTTGAGGAAACCAATAAAAAGTTACTAGTGAAAGTGGCGTTCTTAATAGGTATGTAGTTGTAAATCTATGTTTAAGATCTTGTTGAGAGCGCTGCCTTGAATGCGCTGATCTTTGTCTGGTGTCGTGTTCCTAGAGGGAGCTGGTTCCAGATGATTGCACCTGCGATCATTGCACTCCTCTTCTTCTTCTTCGATGTGTTGTAATGGGGAATCGCAAAGCAACGCGTCCGCTCAAGCTGTCCTCTTCTCAGGTGTTGCTGCAGATAAGGAGGGAAAGTTCCAGCGTACCCCTGGCGAATAAAACAGCTAATTCTATTCCGGTAGTTTGTGTCGAGGTCGTGTCCCAACATAGAGTTCCTTACGGCAGCAGTGGATTCTCTGCGTCTGATGCCATGTACAAAGCGAACTGCTGCCTTGAAACAACGGTTTAGCTGATCATGGAGCGCTGGTGACAATCCAGGATAGTAAGTGTCGCAGTCCGCATCGTGCTCTCTTGCCGTGCGGATCTATTTGCTTTTTGCTGAAGGAAGTGTTACTACTACCTAAAGCTACAACAAATTTAAACAGCACTTTTCAGTGCTCAACCTGTAAAAATTTTCTACCTTGTTCAACTCCTCTTATTCCTATTCGATCCTTGTTTGGACCCTACCCGAGGTAATCCTTCTTGGATATCGATTTGGAAAATTCCTCTTCGATCCTTCAGATTCTTATAGTAATCTGCTTGGAAATTGATCTGGATAAAAATTTACTGCCGCCATGGCACCTAAACGCAAAAGAAAGGGGCAAACTCTTGACCCCCCTTCTGATGAAATTAATTTGAGTAATCAATTTGATTTGCTCACGGATGATGAGAATGATCCATCATCCAAGAAAAATTCTAGTAAACTTTCCCGGCTTAATGCCAAGAAGGAAAAGATTCCCCCTATTGTGATAACCACTACCGATTTCCATGCTCTTCGCATAGAACTTTTGAATTTCGTGAAAGTTAAGTTTTCACTACAAATTGGACGTCGGGGTGAATGCCGTGTATTGGCTGAAACCTTGGACGGATTTAAATGTCTTCTCAAGTATCTTACTGAGAAGAAGCACAAATTTTTTACTTACGACACCAAAACTGAACGTGTGTTCAAGGTTGTCATGAAAGGACTGCCCAGTGGTGAATCCCTGGATCAGATCAAAGATGAACTGGCAAAATTACTTGGAGTTGTGCCACTCCAAGTAATCAAAATGAAAATGAAATCCCGTCCTGGCGATTCGCGCAACGGGATTTCTAATGATTTTTATTTAGTTCACTTCAAGTCTAGTGAACTAAACAACCTTAAGGCCTTAGAAAAAGCTAGCCTTATGCTCCATGTCCGAGTGAAGTGGGA